GTTTGTCACTGGGGGCATGAGTATTGCTGTGATGCTGAACAGCCTTCAGCAGAGGCTCCAGATGAAGACACGGAGGAAAGGCCAGGTGATGTACTTCTGAAAATGAGCCAATGGAAACCATATGGGTGACAAAAAGTCTGAGCTTACTGTGCATGGGGTTGCCAGGAGGAGGGGAGAGGGCAACTTGAAAGCAGTTAACCACAAGAAGTTGCTCCCTTCCTATTTCTCTGACTTAGAGATTCCCCACCTTGCTTCAGGGAACCTTAACCACAAAGCATGAATGTCACCTCCCCTATCTCCTCTTCCCAGGGTTCTCCATGGCCTTTTCTCCATATGATGAATCCCTGCACTATTTGCTTCAGGCAGACTTCCTGCTGTGGTGTACCAACCCCATGCACTGTCCTTAGGTGAATGGATTTACTTCTGGGTTTCTAATTCTGTTCCATTTGTCTGTGTGTCTGTCATTATACCATTACCAGACCATTTTAACTACTGTGGCTGTATAGTAGGTTTTGTGATTGGGGAATGTGAGCCATCCTATTTTGTTCTTCTTGTTTAGTAGTGATACTGCCTTGGAAGCCCAAGGAGGGGTGGCTATGAGTCAGATCTGACTCAAGGGCAGTGAGTTTTATTTACCCAGAGTCTTTTTCCTTTCCAAATAATACTAATGATTATTTTTTCCATTTCTTTAAGGAAAGATGATGGAATCTGGATCAGGATTACATTATATCTATAGATCACTTTGCATAGTATTGTATTGACATTTCCATGATGTTAAGTCTTCCTATTCATGAGCATGGTATAGTCTCTTTTGGTTTCTTATAATAGTGTTTTTTGGTTTCTTTGTATATGTCTTATATGTCTCTGGTTAGATTTATTCTTACATATTTCATCTTTTGGGTAGTTACTGTAAATGGTATTGCTTTCTTGATTTTCTTTTCATAGTTCTCTTCACTAGTATAAATGAATCCCACTGACTTTTGTATGCTGCTCTTGTATCCTGACACTTTGCTGAAACTACCAATTAATTCCAGTAATTTTCTTCCTAAGTCTTTATGATTTTCTATATATAAGATCATGCCATCAGCAAATAGAGATAGTTTTACTTCTTATTTGCCAATTGAAATGCCTTCTATTTCTGAAAGGTTTCTTATTAGGAAAAAATAATTCATTTATTTAAGCTTATTCTCTCATCTATATACTGATAATTATAAACAGTATTCATATCAAATAACTTTTCTCATAGTAATGAGATATGCGTATAGAATTCAGAATGTACAAAATAAATAATTCAGTAAATATTGTCTATTAACATTATATGATAACTAGAGATATCATATATACTAGAGATATACTCAGGTAAATGAAGTAAGAATGATAGAAGGCAAAGTTGAAATGTTAGACTCAAAAATTATCAATCAATCAAATTAAAAAATTAATGTTGTGGATCTAGGCAGAGGATCAAATGGAAATGAGTGATGCTGACTATGAAACAGTACACAGAAAAAGAAGCCTGTAAATTGGTCTGATTCAGAAGCTAAGTCCATAATGGATAAGTATTTATGGCCAGGCATACTCTACCAGACTGGAACTGAGCCCATGAATGGATGAAAGAAACTGGTCAATTCCGCATTTTAATATTAGAGGTAAATAACAAATTTTGCAAAGTATTGAAAAATCATGTACAGAAACAGAATAGAAGTACATATGGTCCACCTAGGAGAATAGATTATTCTGAATTATCTTCCTTACTAAATAATTATAAAAAAGTATATACATTTATGTCTCTATCATGTCTGTGCATTTTGTCTGAAGAGCTAGACATCAGCACTTTTTAAAAACTCCATCTTTTTTTTTTTATTATGAATATCTGTTTCCCAACCCCAAGAAAAAATTGGGGCATACATTTAACTGTTGCTAATGTGTTTTAGTCAATACATTATTGAAGAACTTATATTGATAATAAAACACTTAATTTTAAAAATAACAATAACTCAGAATCACAGACCTTGAAGCTAAAATGCTTGATAATAAGCATTGTTACTGTTGTTAGCAGCTGGCCCATCTAGTCGGTCCCCCAATTCATGACAAATGCATGCAAAACATAGCCGGATCCTGTAGCATTCCATCATGGGTTTGGATTGGAGTGCTGTAATCCAGAGGGTTTACACTGTCTGATTTTGGATAGAAAATTCCTAGGACATTCTTCCCAATCTGTCTTAGTCTGAAAGCTTCACTGTAAAATTCAGTAGCTAAGAAATATATTCTCTACGATTTTCTCCAATGTTTCTTGGTTAATATAATTTGTTGATTAGATTAAGATCTCTCTTCATCATTTTCTCACGATATTATATAGGAGTAATTCTCAATGTAAAAGGTAGGAAACAATATCAGAATCATTTTGTGGTGTTTTACAAATGACCAGATTGATCTGGTCATTTGTAAAATGATCAAATCTACTCTTGAGATAGTCTCTAAATTCAGGTGTGATATAATCTAGGTCATACTTTGGCTTTATGGACTTATTTTAAATTTTTTCAGGTTCAACTTGAACTTACACAAGTGCAATTGATGGTCTGTTCCACAGTCAGACCCAGCCTTTTTGTGAGTGATAATGAGTTTCTATATCATCTGTTTCCACAGATGTAGTTGATTTGATCAGTTGATTTTAAATACATATGAAATAAGAGATTGCTACTATTATTTGAGGATATAAAAATGGTGAAGATGGTACATTTTATTCTGGGCAACATTGCATTCTATTGTATATGAGGTCACCATAAATCAGAGACAACTCAATGGCAGCTAGCAACTATTATTGCTACAACATCTTTTATGCAACCAAAAAAAGTTGTTTGAGCAGCTTTGGAAAATAATATTAACTAGCAAACTGAGTGGATACTCTAGCTATTTGACAGTCTAATATTCCTTTTGCTGGGATCAAATACATTTGGATTAGTTGATGTAGTCTTTTACCTGGCAGGGGCTGCAAGTTTGTGCTGAAATATTTTCCAATTTCTGGCTAAGTCAGTGTCTGAAAGATTCACATCACAAACAGCTTCTCCTTGTTGTTGTTGTTAGGTGCTACTGAGTCTATTCTGACTCATAGATACCTCTTGTAACTGAGTAGAAGTTTTATGTTGGGTTTTCTAGGCTGCAATTTTTAAGGGAACATACCACCTTATCTTTCTCTTCTGGAGCTGTTTGGGGGGTTTGAACCACCAACCTTTCATTTAGAAGCCAAGCACTTAACTATTGCACTACCAGGAATCTGTTCTCTTGTTGCTACTACTTGTTATCCACTATTTATGATGAATGACCATTTTCCATAGACTCATTGAAATAGCCAGTGTCTACTCCTTTCACAAGGAGCTCTGGTTGCACAGTAGTTAAAGCAATCAACTGCTAACCAAAATGTGGATTGTTTGAACTCATCAGGTACTCCATGGGAGAAAGATGTGGCAGTTAGCTACTGTAAAGCAACTCTGTGAAGCAGTTCTACTCTGTCTTCTGGGGTCACTATAAGTAGTAGTCAACTCAATGTCAATGGGTTTTGTATTTATTTATTTTGTATTTTACTCCTTTCACTAAGATTTTTAGGTGCCACAATAAATGGCTTTATCAACTTTTTTTTATTATTATTGTTATGAGGATCTTCAATAGTTGTGCCTGACTTTTCAATCATTACTTTTTTGTTCACTTATACCTATCCAGGGAACTCTGGTGGCATAGTGAGAGTGAGTTTGGTTTTTCTAGTGTTTATACTTATCCAATTATAACTTTATCTTACATTTACAATTTTTTCACTGATTTCATCTAATCACAATTATCAAACATAACATAGTAATATTTTCTTATATTTAATAAGGATCAATAAACTAGTTTGCTTAATTGTATATCAAACACTTAAATGAAAGCTGATTCAATCTAAATCACCCAACATTCTACATCTGACAAGTAAATCTGTTTTGTCACAGCTCCCTGTATCTTTCCTTCTTAACTGTGTTGTAGACATTTTTGTTCATTTCTCTACGGATTTTTATGTCAGCATTGGTAAGAATGTGTTTGTTTATTATTTTGATAACTCCCATCAACCATAAAGTAAATGGACACATGTTGAAATTCTCATGCATCCTCCACTCCATGAATAAATTTACATACTCCTAAAAGGAGCTCTGGTGGCATAATGCCTAAGGCATTTGACTGCTAACCAGAAGGCTAGCGGTTCAAACCCACCACCCACTCCTTGGAAGGAAGGTTGGGCAATCTACTTCCATAGTGACACTGCCTCAGAAACCCAAGGAGCCGTCACTAAGAGTCAGGTGCAACTTGATGGCACATTACAACAACAACATGTGGGGAAAAGGGAAAGAAAGAAAATTATTTCATTTGATATTGATGTGCAGAAAAAGGAAGACAATTATTAGTTTTTTTGATGTCTGAGATGAGAAAGCAAAGCAAATCAGAAACCACAAGTCACTCTTTGGAAAAGAATGTGTAACAACTCCAATACACTAGAAAAGAGTAAAAAAAAAAAAAAAAATTCAGGTAGCTGCTTCCAATTGGAATATGCTTAATGATTTTCTAGGTGTTATTTATTTATTTTTTAACAAACACTATACTTAATGGGTATATAATTATCAACTCTCTTGTTTTTGTTTTGTTTTGTTTTGTTTTTAATCCCACCTTCATTATCACATTTTCAACCATCATGTAGTGAAAAAATCACAATTCCCTGTTAGGTGATACTGTAATAAGCATTAAAGAAAGAATTTAAATGAATTCTCAAACTTACTACTTGCTTAGAGAAAATGCATGTGCATGTGTATAAAGTGCATGTTCATGTGTATGTAGTGAGTACATTTATTTATGTATATTCATATTTGCATATACAGTTTTACAAGTCATGGCTATGATAGGAATTCCTAAGAATCCTGTGTACAGTCTGTGAAAAAAAAAATCCTTAAAAGATTATATACAACATGAATTCAAACACTCACTGTGAAAGGATTGAAGAATATTGATTGCCCATTCATCTGTTAATCTTCCTGTTTTTGTTATTTGGATACATTTGAGATGATTTGAAGATTCTCTTGATTCAATCCAACAAATCATGTCTTCATTGTAAATAAAATCCAGAGTATGAATTTCATTTCCGTTGACTGAGCTCAAGGTTGCCATTTTACTTCCATTAAGATAGAAAACCTCAATTGTTTCAGAATTTGCAATTAACAGCATAGGCGGTCTGTCTGTGGGTTCTGAAATAAAAGAAAAAGTGACTTTTTTAATAGTGAGTCGCATTTTTTAAAAACATTTCTATTACTCATTAAAAATAATTCCTGTAATTTACTTAAAAAAAAAGATTATTTGTAAAAAAAATACACATACTCCTCACTTATCCAGTATCTCATCATCTGACATTTCACATGTAAAATAGTGCAATATCTACTATCTGATAATTTTGCCCATTAATCTGGGTTCCTTCCCCATGTCCAGCTCCTGGCTTGCAAAGCCATCCATGTCTGGACTCAGAAGGCCTCACACTAGTTCCATCTCCAATGCCCTCGCCTCAGTCACCACCACTGCAGCTCTTCCTTCCAAAGAGCAGGCTGAGGCAGATTTTGCAGCCCTGCCAGCGGGTGGCTGGAGGGGCCCAGGAGGAAGCAGGGGTGGCGGAGGTTGCTGCTGCTGCTCCTTTCTACTCAAGTACCTGGGAGGGACAAAGTCCCTCAGGGAGATGGCTGAAAACCAAACCTACTGCCGTGGAGTCAGTTGGACCCTAGTGACCCCTCCTTGGGTTTCCCAGGAGGGGTCTCTAGGAAAATAGATTGCCCAATCTTCTTTCTGAGGAATAGCTGGAGGGTTTGAACTGCTAGCCTTCTGGTTAGCAGTCAAATACCTTAGGCACTACATCACCAGAACAGTAATTTGAGGCCTGGGGAATGCAGCAGAAGCTGGTCCACACCTTCCTCCTCAGCAGCCTTGGCTGCTGCACTCCTCTTTCAAGCAGCTATTATTCTCCAGGCTCTTGGCCTCATATTCTAAGCCCTCCAATATCCTCACCAAAAAGCTCCTTTATTTCCGGTCCTCCCTGGCTGGAGGGCTGAGGCTGCAAGGGGTCTGCGCTGGGGGCATGGGGGAGCATGGATTCAAGCAGCAACTCCTACCTACTTTCTTGATACTTGGACCTGCCATTTGACAGATCCCCAGAGCTGCCAATTGTGCCTCTACTGCAGCTGTAGAGCCCTGGTCTCCTTTTAAGTGCCAGTCACTCCAGCAGGGCCTTGGGATCCAGAGTAAATGTACAGCAATTCTGAGGGTCCTGCCTCCAGGGTCCTCTTTCATCATCTTTCCTGCCTAACAACAATTTGCATGAAGACTTGGTCATTGGAACTTAACCATGTCAAAAAGTGAAGAGTGGGTATACTTTCTTATAATCTATATTTATGCTTCACTGCTATCTATTTCACTTCACTTCTTTGAGGAAAATACATTCCACTGTGCATTTGTATTCCTTATTTCTCTAGTAATAATGTGTTGTCTCAGTATGAGGACAATGCTATTTACTTTCATTGCTGATAAAGGAAGTGCTGTGAATTGTTTTTCTAGCAATGATGATGGATATGAGCTGACCTCCGCACAATTTTGCAGGCTTTCCTTGTGAGCAAAGGCATACTTTTATGAGATGGATGTATGAGTTTAGGAATAGATTCCCTGGAGCAGAACATGTGAAGCTCATAGGTTTATACATAGAGTGCATCTGTGACCTCAGCTTAATTGGTTCTTTGACTGACTCTACAAGCAAAAATCATACATTCTCTTAGTGACTAGATTATGATTACTGAGCCACTTCTACATTTCAAAGACAAAGGTACCCCTTCCCTATAGAAAGAAAAATAGGATTCTAGAAGTTAAACTTGTTCAATAACACATTTGTGGAATACATCTTTTCTGGTATTAAGATGAATACATGATGTTTTTGACAAATATTTATTAATTTTCCAGCTTTCAATAATATATTGAAAGATAATAGTAAAATTTCTTATAAAATTAATATCAAAAGAGTTCTATACTATTCATACTCAGAGCGACTTTTGAGCTAAATAAGGCACAGGGAAAATCTGGATATGATCATTTTTTTTTATTTTTTCTTTTTCCATATCCTACATCTGATGTATCAGTAAGTTCCTTTGGTGCTAACTTAAACATATCAGGAATCTCACACCACTTTTCACTAACTACTGTTACCATTCTGCTCTAAACTGCTATCATCTCTAACCTAGATTACTCCAGCGGCCTTCTAACAGGTTCCCTTGCTTCCACCTGTGTTCTACACCCCGCCCCCCCTTAGTCTGTCTCAGCACAATAGCCAGAGTTATGCCATTAAAAAAGCAGACCAGGTCAGTTCTCTGCTCAGCTCTTCAAAGGGTTCCCATTTCACTCAGAGTAAAAGCCAAAGTTTTTATAATGGTCTACAAAGATCTACATGATCTCTATTTTCATTACCTTTTTGACCTCATTTCCTTTATCTCCTAACTGTTGTCACCCCTTTTCATGTCACTTTAGACACTGTCCTTCCCACTGTTCCTTCAGTAAGCTAGGCAAGCTGCCACCTGATAGACTTCCCTCTTTCTGGAACAATCATTGCCCAGATATCAGAATAGCTGACATGTTCACCTTCTTAAGGTCTTTGTCAAATGTCAACTTCCTGGTAAGGACTTCTCTTACTACTTTCTCTTCTAAAATTACAAGCCCACACTCTCTATATACCTTTTCCACTTTTCTTTTCAGCACTTACCACCATTGAACATACTCTGTACAGTATTTTAATTACTTTTTCTGACTTATCATCTATCTACTTCCACTGCTGTATCTCTGTTGTTATGTGCCATCGAGTCGTACCCGACTCATAGTGACCTCTCTTTGGGTTTCCAAGGCAGTATCACTACGGAAGTAGATTGCCCTAGAAAAAGGCCCGGCATCTAATGACAAGTTAATACAAATTTTCTGAATAAATGAAAAAGATATGGAGAACTTTTACATAGTAAAGTTCTTTAGACACACTGTGAAATGTTCAAAAGTTATGTGGATTTCTTGACCTATGAAGGGAATACAGTGAAAGTCTCCTATTCAGAAAATTGCATAACTGCCATTTGATAATTCTGCAAGGGAATAATGCCGAGTGTTGCAAAGGTAGGGCAAAGGAAATGCATATACAATGTTGTTATTGTTGTTATGTGCTGTCGAGTCGGACCCGACTCATAGCAACTTCTCCTTGGGTTTCCAAGGCAGTATCACTACAGAAGTAGATTGCCCCATCTTCCTTCCGAGGAGTGGCTGGTGGGTTTGAACTGCCAGCCTTCTGGTTAGCAGTCAAGTGTCTTAGCCACTATGCTACCAGAGCTCCCAAATATACAATAAGTAGAATTAAATAAACCTAAATATTTAATGAAGTTTTACTTAATGTTCTTCATTGTTTTGGGTAAACGTAGGGTTATCAGGGTCCTCGCATTTCCCTCAGACAGAGGAGCCGTTCAATGAAGATAACTTTATTTTTCTCCTCAGAGGCTTAAAATGTCGACCCTAAAATTCATCCGCAAGGGAAAGATGAAAGATTTGAATTTTTACTATCTAAGACATTCTCTTATTCAAGCCATAGCATACTTGCCTGCCTTTAAGAAGAACATTAAATTTTTCTAACTTTGCTGTTGTTATGTGCCATCAAGTCGGACCCGACTCATAGTGACCCCTCCTTGGATTTCTGAGGTGGTATCACTATAGAAGTAGATTGCCCAAGCTTCCTTCTGAGGAGCGGCTGGTGGGTTTGAACTGCCAGCCTTCTGGTTAGCAGTCAAGTGCCTTAGACACTATGTTACCAGATTTATTTTAGTGACTTAAAGCAACATACATTTATTCTCATGCAACAAAATAATTTTAAAAAGTAAAAAAAAAATATATCGGCAATGAGATCATAAAAGTCATTAGCTCAATAATATCTTTCCTATGAAGACAGCAGACTTTTCCTGACTGGCTACATATAAAGAAATAACAAGGAAGTCTCCAAAATGCCAAGATGATTTCAGTGATGAAAAACTTTCTCAGTATTGGTAAAATCATGACTTTGTTTAACATAACTCTCTCCAATATCCATATCTAAGCTTGGTTGCCAGAGTTGGCTTCTCTCTTCATCTTTGAAAACCATTCTGTGCTGTGTTACTCTTGCTCTTGCCATGCTCTGATTTGAGGATTTTAGAGTCTGTCTCTTTTCTACACATTTAGTTCTGTTGTTTTCAAGTGGACCTTGACATTCCTGCAAACTCTTGGATCACAGACTTCTGAAGTTACGGAAGATCTAAGATGGCTGTGTTATCAAGTTCACAAAGGTATGCTGACACAGATGTAAGTGCTTACTGTCACTAGATAACTGAAATAACCTTCAGTGACATTGCTTTTCACTCAAAATGAGCAACTATTTGAATTCATTATAATGAGAAAGCTTCTTTGCTGCAAAGCATTATGAAAAGTGTAAGTTTAAACAACAATTTTTTAACTGGCTACTATAAGTAAATTTGAGTGTATTATGGGAGCTCTGGTAGCATAGTGCCTAAGGCACTTGACTGCTAACCAGAAGGCTGGCGATTCAAACCCACCAACCATTCCTCAGAAGGAAGGTTGGGCAATCTACTTCTGTATTGATACCACCTCGGAAACCCAAGGAGAGGTCGCTATGAGTAGGATCCTACTTGATGGTACATAACAACCTCATTCTTTGAAGAGAAGCTAGAATAAAAAGGTACACTAAGATTCTCCTGAGAATCCAAGACTAAAATAGGTTAATGGTTCACACAGATAATGCTTGATGCAATCAATTGAACAACTTTCTGAGTTTTGTAGTTACTGTAGTGGGTCTAGTGGTAGATTTTTTTTCATGCAAAACCATGTCAGCCCCTGATTTTAAAACTTCAAATAAACAGAAAACCAATACAGAGAACGTGAGATGTTTCATAATCTTACATGATTTGATTTAATCATGACAACTTTAAAAGTATAAGTGACATATTAGAGGACGGATACTTATAATGTTAGATCTGATGTGCTTTATCAAAGTAATATTCATGTATCAAGGTGCAGTGGTTATATATAGAGCTGCAAACTGAAATGTCAACTGTTTGAAGCCCTCAGCTACTCTGTGGGACAAAGATATAGCAGTCTGCTTCTGTAAAGATGTAACAGTGTTTGGGCCATTCTAAAAAAGGAA